AATAAGATCCAGGCTGAAAAAATCTGGAAGCAAAATTCAGGATTAAAGGAGTAACAACCCTGGTATTTACTTTGTCAGTTTCTGTATGCTAAAATGAATCCTAGGATTGCATAGAATAATGGAATCTGGCCTTGTTTCAGTGAAAAAGGGCGACAGTGAACACCTGCTAATAAAAGTGAGTGTGCTTTTCCAGAAAAGGTGAAATGAATCTCTGAGTATTTGACACTTGCCACACAGAGACTGATATGCCAGTTGTCCTGTGGGGCTTTTTGTCTGGCTTTTCTAAGGGTATTTAAATTTATATCTGAATACTCCTGTATTACCCAATTTCTTTTTTATAGAATATGAAATGTGATCATAGAGTGGGGTCAAGTTATAGTCCAGTGAGTTCAGAATGTACAGTATTGAAAGTCTGCATCAGTCATTTCAGTTTCTCCAAAATCTGAACTGCACTTTTAGCTCATTTCAACATAACTTTTTTATTTACTATGAACTTTTTCTCTTGGTTATAATATAGCTCCCAACCCCACAAAAGTTTTTTGTGGATATATTGAATCTAATTTAATCTGTAAAATAGTGAGCTTCAGAGTTCTTCTGAAGTGCAATGTTATATATCTTGCTCTCTAGCAAGGGAGCACCCTGTATGGCTAAGATATTTAAATATTTGTATTTGCAAAAGGAAAAGATGGTTTCAGATTAAAATTCCTTTCTTAGTTTGGGCATCGTGTGTCTTATGTAAAAGCAGAACTGACACCCAGTTTCTGGTGCTCTTTCCAGCTCAGAAATGGACTTTCCATGTGACCTTGACCAAGTTAAGCCCTCTACTTATCTGTAAAATGAACTTTCCTTTCATTAAGAAGCTCTATATATCATAAAATAAATTGCCAGTGACTTTATTAACTACTACAATAAAAGTGTCCTGAATGCTTCTATGCAAATGTATCACATGTAAACCCTTGGTATGACTGAACCATGGATTTTACTCCCAGAATTTGATGGTGGTACACAAGAGAAACCTGTGTAAACTGTGGATTTTTCAGCCATTATGAACTGGCGTATTATGCCAGTGACCTGGGGTATTTTTCAAATGAAGTGGTTCTAAAGTTCTGTGTGTGCTAAGAAATGGTGCTGTTCTAAAGCACAGTGACTGTCAGATTCCATAGGTCTGTTCCTAAAGCTTCCTGTGGGAACAAACTCACTCATGTGAGATTTTTCCTACAAGTCTTAAAGGGTGAGGTTTCATGGGATTGTGGAATGCAAGAGCTGTCACCACCTGCTGCTGAAAACGTGGCTGGAGGAAAGAGCTTTTGTCTTTTCCATTTGTTACTGAGGCATTACATCTGTGCAAGAAAGGAAAGACTTTGTGTGGTGTTTGTTCACCTCTTCAATAAAAATGCCCTCGCTCCAGGGCTGGGTAAGGAACGGATCCCAGTGCTCCTGCTGCAACCATTGCCACTTCTCAGCAGGGAGTTCAATCCTCCAGCAGGCCAGGAAGGCTGAGCAGCAGCAGACTGGGCTGTGAGGGGGTGGAAATGTTGTAGTCCCAGCAGCAAATGGTGACCTGATGTTTGCAGATCTGCACGGGCACTTGTGCAGTTTCACTCATAAGCTGCAGTTGGTTCGAGCAAACAGTGCTCGTGTTTTGTGCTGAGCTAAATCTGGCCCTTCATAACTTCTTGAATGAGCCTGCTGTTTGTCAGGGGTGTACATAGTTCTTGGTTTTGCCTAGAGCTAAAAAACGTCGAGCCAGAAGTGTTGCTGTGAAGGACCTAATAGGCAAAGAAGAGAAAATGCCAGGAAGCCCACTGGTCCAGAATTACTTCTAGGATCAGCAGTTTGTGCAAGATGAGGCTTTGGTTGTAGAAAAAAAACTTTTTCCACAGTTTGGTTGGAGTCACTGGGCTGACTATTTCTATCAGTCTTGCAATTGGTATCCCCCAGGAACTGATCTGTGGGGGCAGAGGATCAGGGATACCTCTGTGTAACTCTTGTATTTGCTGGTTCTGCTTTCTCTCAGAAATGAACGGGTTTCTGACAGCTCTCAGGAGGTGCAGCTCCAGTGCTCTCTAGTGGTCAGTGGCACTGAATGAATTTTTTGTGGTTTTGAAACAAGAACTACTTTACTGCTGGCTGATCTCAGTAGTACTCAGAAGTATCTTGATATTAACGGATAATTTTCTCTTCAGGATTTCTAGGACCTAGAAAAGTTGCTATGAAATACAAATTTACAGAAGCAATGATTTGAATCAGGCATTAAAAATTACACCTCAGTAATATAACAAACAGTAAAATTTGACATAATCCTTTTTATTTTAGAAAGCATGAAAACAGTACAAAGAGAAGAATGAAGAAATAAGTTATAAGCAGCAGTCTGACCACAGAAAATTAGCTGACCCTTATGTTCTCTAGCTGTACGGTAAGTAGGGCTAATGATTCTTTTAAGTAATGTAACTAGCTTTGTTCTAAGTCAATGGACAGAAGCAAGAGAGAACACATGACATTCAGAAGACTTTAATAGTTTTTAAAGGCAAACATAATATACAGAGAAACCCCTTAACCTAGTACAAAAATACTGTGCCCAGAAACTATATATTTGTTCAGGTATTTTTAAAAGATAGAAGAATACAAAGGGACAAACTCAGTGACTAGTGACTGTGATTAAGGGTTTTATTAAACTATAATAGGAATGTATGTTAAAACTATTTACAGTGCATTTCAAACTACATTCTTTAAGAGACACATGCAGGTGTCTGCCATGTGAACACAAAGAGGACTCAAATTCTAACTTCAGTTACGTCTGTAAGGTACCTTGGGCATCGGTGGCAATAGCTGAACCAGCAAAGAGCAAGTGAGGCAGCTGTCACCAAGGATAAGGGTTTGGTCCCTCTTTACAGGTAAGAAAAGATGGATTTGACCCATTCTTTCACTTTCTATACAGCACAACCCAGCTCCCCTGAGGTAAATGGGAATCACAATACTGACTTCAGGTGGGCATCTGAGCATGCCAAGCTCGTGCTGTGGGAGTTAGTGGGAACCAGCAATTACAGAGCATTGTCACATAAATACACATTTACAAACACTGGTACTCAGATTTGAGTTTCTGTATGCAAACAACCTTCCTTCTGTGGAGAAGAAACTTAGCATTCACCTCGCAATGACCAAGATGAAATATCCTGCTGTCACAATTTGCTGCATTTAGCAGGTGTCACTAATTACCAGCACAGAGTCTGTGGTGTTTCTTCTTCTTATCAAAGTCCAAACCAAAAAAACTCAGCCCTCATTATTTACCATACTCTGCCCAAACTCGTTCTGCTGTTCAAGCTTATGTTTTAAATTAGTGCAAGCCCCTGAAAAAGTACAGCAGGGAACTGGGAAATAAAGCTGAAACCTTGTGGAATGTAAACTGCATGTAATTTAACATGAAGAAAAAACCTGCAGCATCACAGAGATAAGACTCAGAATTAATACTACTATACTAATTTGCTTGAAATATGAGGTCTTTATAAAAACCTTTAAAAACATGTGAATTTATTATAAGCAAGGAAAATATTTTCCATAAAAAGTCTTTGCCATGTTTTTATGCATGACTGGAAGGGCCAGCAGCTGGATCACTCCTCTAATTTTAAGGGCCTAGACCTGATTCTTCATTATCTTTCTGTATAATGAGCTGGAAAATCAATTACCTGCTAATTTTGACAAACTTTATGTATGAATTAGTTAAGTGCCCTGAATTTGTCAGTTCATACCACTACCAGGTAAAATGTATGGGGTTGGAAATCAAAAGATGCATGCAAATTGTCAGAGGGTGATGCATATAAAGAGGCTTTGGTTCTCTCTTCCGAGGAGAAATCAGCTGATCATCAGTGAAATTGTTTCCTTTTATCAGTAGCTCACTTGTATATGTGCACAGTGAAGAGATAAACAATCTGCTCTTAAGTATAAACTGCTTCTTAATTAAAAATTCACACCATCTCCAAAGTCAGCATCACTTTATTCCCCCCCACACTTTCTTTAACTGCATGATAGAATAGAAAACCTAGGCCCTCAGCTAATATTGCATTTGTGGCTAACTCCTTGGAAAATTCAGTTACTTGGAATTAGAAGAGGTAGGGTTAATCAGTAATTTTGTGTGTGTTAACACAAGTAAATTTTTTCAGAACAAATCCAGAAATAAAGAGTACTTCAAGAATTAAACTGTGCTGTGGAATGAGTTTGAAAGAAATTATGTTTGTGTCTGAGATCAAGTAGGATACTGACTCAGTTGTCCTCACTGAGAGACGTAATAAGAATTTGTGGAACAAATTCTTGTGCCTAGAAATTGAAATCTCAAATGCGACAATGGTTTCAGTGGACTTCAGGCTGAACCGTCAAAGGAATAAACTCCATTTCAGCTGGTTTCTTGTGTAAGCCACTCTGATTGTTACAGCTAGACAGTATCATGTCTTTGAGATCAGACTGAAATAATGAGAGACACAGCTCATGATGAAATAAATGAGAGCTGCATAGCTGTAATCCACCAGCTGCCTTTCAAAAGGTTCAATTCTGCAGACAGTGAACTTGAAGGAAACCTGCTGGAGCCAGGTTAGGTTTGGATTTTTTTCCCATATTGTCCCCTATCTACATTATGAAAGGAGGGAGCAGTTTCTGCAATTGAGTCACACAAAGCCATGACACACTTGGATTTTGCCTTCAGGCAGAATAAAACACTATGTAAAGGCTTTGAATCTCATGAAATACAGCACTCTATGCTTTTAAGGTACTTAAACCAGTAGTTTAAAGGCTTTGGTTTTGTTTAAATATATACAGATACAGGTGTGTTATGATATTTAAATGTTTATTTACTAGGAACTGTATTTATATGTGTGTTCCAACATTTATGGTGGGAAAGATTCTATGGGATAAATGTGTACAGATATATAATTAAATATATGCACATACTGTATAACTGTTCATTTTAAGTGAACCTTTAAAAAAAATGTAACATCATGCCCTTCTTTTCAAGTCAAAGGTATGAATCCAGCACTCCTTCATAGCATTTATAAATTTAGTTATAATAAAGCTTTACTGAACACAAAATATAGCAAGGAAATACTGGAATATTCATGTCAAAGTTACATCACTACACTGTGATATCATCATAGTTATCTGCTGTGTTGTCACCATGAGTTACAAGTCCAAACCAACAGCAAGAATACACCTTTATATACATATATTTTATTCCTATTTATATTAAATATGTATCCCTTCAGTATAATAATTATATTTCAGTATCTCAAGCACTCAAGAAAAAGACTATACAAGGGCTATGCAAATCCTGAAGCAAAGTTTTCTATTTATCCAGAAGTACCTAAAACCTTTTTGGGGGATGGAGGGGCGTGTGTTGGCAGGGCCAGGCTGCTGTCACCTGCATACTGTGTATGCACAGAAATACATATACAGAGTACTGCAAAACAGCAGTCCTGGAATTCTGAGTGAGTGTTGCAATCCATCCTTTTTTTTTTTTAATTTGTTGGGACAGAATAAGGAGAAGTACTTCTGTACTGAAATGTTTTCAAATTCACAGTGCAATCATTTATTATTGGTCCTCACTAGACAAGTCTGAGATAGGACTTAATCAGTGACAAATAATTTAGTGTGTCAGAAATATTGCTGACTGTCAGAATACCTTTTCTATATTAAAAAAAATATCAACTCTAACTTAGTATCATCAAACATTTTGAAACATTTGCTTCATCTTTTCTTAGCTTCTGGCATTGTTTGTCTAAATGAAGAAATTGAAAGGGTGAGTTTTCCCTTTTTGACCAGATCTTACAACTTGGGTTGACAATCTCCTGGGAAGAAGAATTTATTGCAGTTTCTAACTAGAATTTCCTGGAATATTGTGATAGAACTAAATTCCCACACTTAAAAGTCCAGTGCCAAATGTGCTGCTTTTGCCAAATGATGATTTTAACTAAAAAATAATGATTACAGATTAAAAAACTGGAACATTTTGTGTGTCTCTGTGCAGCCAAAGTTATGTGTGCTGCTAATGCATTTTAGACTACTGGCATGTATCTCCTTATCCTGTCCATCTAAATAATAGTACCCTCCTTGTATTCCTCTTTTGGAATTTGTCCAATGTGTATATTTTCTATAATTGTTTCCAATTCAAAACCATTTCTATTAATTATCTTCACTTAGATAATGCACCAATTTTATATTTTACTAGTGCAAGTTAATTGATTTCTTACTTTACAGAACATTAATGCCTCACATACAAATGGCAAATAGCACTCTTGGCCATTTTTGCTTTTGGTATTATTATTTTTCTATTTCTTCGAGACACTATGATTAATCATTCTAAACTAATGTTAAAATGATTTTTAAGAGATGTTAACATAAAACTTTCTTCAAAGTGGTCACAGCCATTTCATAGTAACACTGGCCTGAAGAATCAGTCATTGGTGGTCACCAGGAGTGTGCCCTTCCTGCATCATTCTGATTCAGCTTTTCACCTCTTGCAGTCATTCTCTTCTGCCTGTGATCCAGTCTGTTGGTTAGATGATGTTAAAATCAACTCCCAAATGAAGTTAAAACCAGCGTACAAAACCAATCCTGCTTTGTTTCCATTTCTCTGTGTGCTTCTTGCAGCTTTCCATGGCAGCCTGTCAATTATGTTGGGATATTTCATCTGTCTTCAAGAAGTTCCCATTGGGCATGGAGAGCTGGGACACCTCTACCACACCTGAGACTCTGGCTGCCTAGTCATTCACAGGGGTCTTAGACATTTCTTCAGCTGCAATAACACATTTGCTAAGATATCCATCTAATATGGAAAAAAACCAAACTCTACTGGGTGCACAGATTTGGGGGTTTTTCACCTCAGAGCCCAGTTCTGCTGTCTGAGAGAGGTTAGCAATAGTTTGTTTGGAATAGGCTCCCCAGAGTGAGTCTCAGTCTTTCCTCTGAACCTCTGGAAATAGACCAGGCAAGACTGCTCAATATTTTTATAATATAAAACAGCAAGATGGGAGGAGGGAGAGAAAAGGTGCAAAATGCAGTAGTCTTTCAGATACTGGCCACAACATGATCACTAAACAACTATGTACATCTGTAAAGCAACAGGCTCTCGGGCACAGTCAGTGCCTGCACCAGTACCTTCTTGTGGGCTGGGGTAGCAAAATCCACCCCTGCAGGTCGTCTTCCATCTCAGTCAGATGTAAGAAGAGAAACATATTGTCTTCAGATAATCTTGGCATCTACACAGTCATGCTATATCTTGAAATGTGGAAAAAATAATACAGCAGTGGCAAAACATAAGCCAAATTCATACAGTGTTTAGCAAAATGCAGTACTCTCTTATTACTGTGTTTCCTACGTGAACTTGAGCTTATGGTGGTGAAATCAGCACATCAGTTCCGTTTGCCTTGGTTGCTTTCTCCATTAATCAGGTTCTCTTGCTGCTCAGCCAAGGCTTGCCATTTCTGCCTGTTTTTTCTGCAGCCATCCAGCAAAGGGGAGCAGGCCTCTGACACGTGTGTTAGGGCCTGAAATGCATTGAAAACGTGGAAAACAAATTGTATTCAATTTTTAATTTAAAAATGGAGAATGAAACACATCTCATATTTTTTTCAGATTTCTGAACTTAGAGGAAGACTTGTAGATCATTAAATGCACTGGTTAGTTAACACAAGAGCTGGGTACAGTTTGGACTAGGATCACTTGGTAACTGTAGATATAAGCAGCAGTGCACATTTTAGAGTAAATGATTCCAATTTTTCTGATCTTTTCATAAATAGAAAGGTAAAGCTCTCCTCTAGTAGGAAGAAATATAGATGTTCAGGCTCTAGAACTGTGGGCATTCAAGTCTGCTCAGGTGTTCTGTTAAAGTTTTCTGTTTGTCCAATCTGTATCTTTGCAGAGACACTCAGTCATGTTTCAATGGCCTACCTCCTCCTGGAGACAGTTTTCTGAGGCTTCAAAGCAAAGGCTGCCTTTGTTTCCTGACATTTTCTACAGCACAGAAGCACTTGATTTTCAGGGACAGCAGCTAGTAGCTCCCTTTCTCTATCCCTGTTTCCTTTGAACTGGTGAATGTGTGTTCTTTTCAGAAAAGCTAATTGTGTCAGAGGAAAAAATTCAAGTAATCATCCTGTTCCTTGCACTGGAAGGTTCTTAAGTATTCGGTTTTCTGTTCACCTCCTTTCTTTTTCTCACCTTAGTTTCTCTAAAATACTCGGTACAGGTCAAATAAACAGACCTTTGCTCCAATGTTGTACTGGGTTAAAAAAACCCCAGAAATCATTATGTTGTTTTTCACACTGTATTTGACCAAGCAGCTTCTCATACAGTTTGTGACCAGGACAAAAAAGCATTTCAGTGGATTATCTCATGCAATGCTTTGGTGTGTGATGAGAGAGAAAGAACTGAATGGGTTGGGAAGTGTTAAAATTGGTAAAATTGGGTCAATTTCCTATACATAGCATATCACCTTTTGTATAACAAATTCTGAATTCTTAAAAACTTGTAAACACTTTCTATCAATGCACTACCTGGATACCATTCTTTCCCTAGAGGTCAAAGCATTAGTTTTGTGACTTTCCCTGATAATCCAGAATATAACCCAAGGACATAACATCAATTGCAGAGAGCACAGCATTTTAACTAGGTTTAAAAAAATTGTGACAAAACATATTAATCAGACAAATTATAAATACTAAAATAGTAATTTCTTCAACAGAATAATGAACCATGTGTAATATAAAAAATATTTTCTAACTAAGGGGCTAGTTTTTAATTTGATTTTTATTCTAATGGTAAATCTATGTCTACCAGTGAGCAGCTCTGGTTTCAGATATTTTCTGTTCTTCCTTAGGCACCATACCTCATACAGCTGCAAACAAACAGCATCTATGAATCCAACCTGCATGCTGGGAATTTTGTTTTTCTTCTCTCTGTTCATTAGATCCTGCAGATAATAAGAGAACAAGTTCTGTGTTTAAATGCATTCAATATAAAACCCAACCAAAACCAAAGAGAGTCTGGAATTAAACAGCAGCACCTTAAAGAGCACAGCAAGCTCAGCACAGTGGAGTGTCATTACAGGTGTTAGAAGGAAGGGAATTGGACTGCATGACTTCCCTCAGGAGACTGGCTTTGGTTTGACAGAGCCCAAATATCCAGGCAAACTTACTGGGTTTGGATAGTTACATATAGGTACCAATTTAGGAATGCATTTCCTAGCCAGTTAGTAATACTGACTTAAAGGCAATAATCCTGTCTGTTCTTCTGGTTCAGAAATAATGACACACTATTGGTGTTTTGGAACCACAGAACAAAACTGGCTTCTAGGAGGCCAGGGAAGGAGCCAGTCCTGCAGGGTGGTCAGTGGGAGAAATTTTAAGTGCTGTTTCCAAAACACATTGAGCAAGAGGTGCCACTTACTGTGGGTTCTATGTTGAGTTCCTTCCGCTCTTTATCTCCTTGATCAAAGAACTCAGTAGCCACAAGCTCAGCAATCTGTAAGAGATTTCACTCATTGAGAGCTGTAAAAGTTTGTTTGCTACCTACAAACAAGTAGTTCCTATCTCTCCTATCATATTAGCCCCCACACACATCATGAGACTCCAGTTCAGGATTCCACCACTGCCTTTGCAGTAAGGACTGGGTGGAGGAAACAAACTTTAATGCAGTTTGCATTTAGGAAACCTTAAAAATTAAACACATACCCGTTGCTGAACTGGCCATGGTTTGGTTATGGCTGATAAGTCACAAGCAGTCATCAGCATTGCTCTGCAGAACAAGAAAGAAAGGGATAAATTACTCTCTGTGAAATGTATGTAGCCACCAAGTCAAGTGACTGGTAAAATAGAATATAGAATTCCAAGGAACATCAAGTCAGAAAACAAGTGAAATTAGAGCAAAGTTACAGATCTAACGCCACATGCTATTTAACAAAGTTTCTTATACAGGTTGCACACTTAGTAGTTCAGACCCAGGGAGTTCAGTGATCTGTGTGCCAATGCCAGCTTGTACAGGCCCAGGGCAAAAAGACCTGCTAGGTTTAATCAAGTTCACAGCAACATGGCATGGGAAATTGGCTACCCGGTAATATTAACTGATTTCATGATTATTCTGCTTTTACTTACAGAAATAGCTCCTTTTGTGAGGGATCTTCCATATTAAACTGCTTCTTCCTTAGAAGTTCAAAAAATTCTCCTCTCCTCCTTAAAAAGAAGTTAAAGCAAAAGATTTTGCAGGACACTGACATGATGCTAATATCCAGCAGTGATTATTCAGCCAAAGTTTCTTCTGACTTACTTGATGTAGAGTGCCAGGTCTGTGGCAAGAATGGCTTGTTTTATCATTTTCAGTGTAGCCTTGTATTCTTCAATGGAAAGGCTGCTGAGAATCTGATTTCCCTTTACAAAAAAACCCAAAACCATTGCTATCAGTAAAAAGGGCAACAGCACACCAGTTTGCTTAAATATCTCTAAGTCACCAAATCATTATGAGTTACTTGCTGATATCTGAGGTCATTCTTTTACCCTCCTTCCTCTTGAAGATTGCCTAGTTTAAAAATAAAACTTACAGTCTTCCCAAGTAATAGCAGAAAGCTGCACAGCAGCAACATCATCACTCATCATCACTGACTATTACAAAATGAAACTGCAAGCAGAGCAACATCAAAGCCTTTAAGTCCATTTTATTCATTAAAATTAAATTTGTCACTGGCTGTATCACAGCTTCTCTTTCCTCATCCTTCCCCTCCCTGAAGCAGAGGAATTATTCCCATACCTGCCCATACACCTCTAGTAAATGAAAATATTTTCCTTTTATGAAGCAGCATAAATAAGTTATTAAGTAAAAGTATGAACTCAACAGCCCCCTACTAAACCAAAGCAGTACGGAGCAGGTGAAATGGAACTCACCTCAATTGTTTTTCCATATTTGCCTACCTGAATAGGAAAGGATCTCTATACTACAAAGGATGCCAGAAGTACCACAACCTGTGACACAGAAGGAGCAGTCCTTTGGAAGGATTGTGAATGCTAAATAACTGGTCCTGAGAATTAGTTAACAGCATCTAACAAGAAGAATGTAGTATTATTTGCATATTTACTAAACTTAGGTTTGGCTTCACTTTGGAATGTCAACACAAGCAGTGTTTGGTTTGGTCTCATCAGGGCTGCTTTGTGTATGTGTAGGCTGGAATGTTTTTGAAACGAGAAGAAGGACTGGGGTTTGTTTGATGGTTCCTAAGAGGTCCTGAAAATGGCACAAAGCCTTTTGTTTCCTTTGGTGCAAGGAAGCAGGTACTCAGAAGGATGTTAGCAAGGCTTCCCTTATCAGGCAGCACTTGGAAGGCTTTGGTAGCACTCAGCAACAGAACTGTGATTTCCCTGTTGCTGCATTTGCTTTCTTTACCCAAAAAGGAATAAAGAGCACTTTAGAACATATAAGGGTGGGATTCTATCCAGAAGCTAAAAATAGAAAGTAAAATAGTTTCCTTCAGCATACACAGCAACGTGGCACTCACTGGACTATTCAGGATCATAAGGCATTGATCAAAATGATGATGCTCCATGATTGAGTGGCAATACAGCTGAGCCAGTGGATGTTCGCTTCTGAGGAGGAAAGAGATGGAGAAGTCAAATTAGACAAACATACTAGTGATCCAGATAAAACTTCCCTTTTAACATTCACCTTGTAGGAATATGGATAAAAAGATAATGCTGTTCCTTTGTCAGAGCACTTACAGCTCTGGTGTTCTGCCTTCTCTACCTGTAGAGACCAGCTGCATGCGAGGAGCGACAATGTAATAAAAGGTTACATAAGGAGTGAAAGTTCCTCTATAGAAAGCAAAGGCAACACGAAGAGTTCATTCACAAGCACAGTTTAGGAGACATTTTTGGTTTCTGCAACATGTTCTTAAATATTCTTAAACCAAATGTTCTTCACCCACCTGTCATATTTAGTCAGCTCAGCTGCTGAGCTTGTAAGTAATATGCAAACCTAATAGGAAACCCACTGATACCACTGGAAAAATTCCTGCAGACCTCAGTGCAATATGGTGCTGGGCCCAAAATGTTGATCAAGTAATTTCCTTGTGTTAGTAACTATACTGGTGTTTCATCACCACTGTTGTCATGACCAAACTACTGCAACATTGTTACCTACCCTTTGCCCAGGGTAAAATCCAAAAGGGAAACTGCTTAGAGGCCAACAGTGATGCTGACTGTTCTACAGGCAGTGAAAAAAATCCAGCGGGAAACCAAATTGTGTAGGTACAGAACTTAAAAATACCTTAGTGCAAAACTTAACAGCATCTAAAATAGCAAATTCTATTTTCTAAACTGAGTAGCATTTGAGTAGCATTTGAGTAGCTTTAGTCAAAATAGAGAAACTCCTCTCTTGAGGATTTCCAATTTCTCCCTGTTCCTTGTTGCATAATACAGTTCTTGGTTTTTGCTGCTCTGTCTTAATTTTCAACCCTTGGTCCCACATTGCTCATGTAGTCTCTTCAACTCAATCTGGATTTTTTTGGAAGTCTATTTTGCTGATGATCCTGGATCTATTACTCCAACTATAATCTGATTTACAAATGTTTAATCATGTCAGTAGCTCTTTTTGCATATAATTCCATGAGATTTTCTGTATGGTTAAAGACCATTCACAAGACTTAATGGCTGCAGGATTGGGCCCCTGTGTGAGTGAGTGCACAGAGGCTCAAATAAAAGTCATAAGAGAAGACTCTGGGGATTTAAGAAGCACAAAAATGCGGAGAGAAAGATGGAAAGACAAACAAAACCCCAGAAAGGAAGATTAAAGGATGCAAGCCCCTGAGGAATATGGGCTGGCTGCCCAGCACCTCCTCTGAGACCACCACAAAAGGGGCGTAGAGCAAATGTACTCTTGTGTTTCTTTAAGGAAACAAACCACAGGATGGTGCCAACACATGCTGGGTGAAATTCCCACTGAATGAAGTGGGATGCATATTCTGTGTCCCAGAGTTCATCCTGACTGGAGAGAGAAATATGTGAGAAATCTCTTAGGTTATCTTCCCAAGTATTGCTCCAAGCTAGAGCTTGCTTAGTACTCGCAGACCCTAACTGGGGCTGGAAATAAATTCAGCTGACTTCTGTAGAGGCACTTCAGTCAAACCCCCACTCCAGGCCAAAGGACACCGTGGCTTTCTGAGCATAGGGGTTTGGTTATGCACTTTCTGTGCTTCCTACTCTGCATGTGGGATTGGATCAAAAAGAAAATAACCCCCCTGCATAAATACCAAAAGGCTTTCAAGCAGTTTCCTTTCTGTAACTTCTACTGCCAGGACCATTTCAATTTTTGAAACTCTCCTGCTTAAGAAAAAAAATCACACACTGAATATCCACCCTCCCTGCTTCAAAGGAAAAAACAAAGGGATCTGTTCCTAGCAATAACTTTTGTATTTAGGTTTAAAAAAAAAATCATGGAACTTGCTGTTGAGAAAGGAATTATTAAGCTATAGCCATCTCAGCTTTACAGCATGTGTAAATGTTAGATTTTGCTGTCTATGACACTTTCCCAGGACATTTTTGAGAGGAGATGACGCATCTCCAGATGTCTTCCAGGAAATTTATTTTTAAATAAATAAAGCAAAAAATAGCTAACTAGTTCCAATCGCTGTGAGGCTACAGTTACTGCTGGAATCCTCTATTACCAAGCTAGAAAAAGATCACTATTCTAATGTTGTGGAGTTTGGTTTTTTTTCCTTTACATATCAGTCAGTGTTACTCCAAACACATACATCTGAAATGCAAGAGTTCTGCTTCAGCTTACTTTTTTTCTGCCTTTCAGTATTCTGTACCTAAACAAGTTTTTCCTCCCTTACGATCGTACTTTACACATAGCGAGAATGGCAGACCACTTCTTCACAGGTCACTTCAAGACCATTCTCCAGCTCTGCCAGAAGATGATGCACATTTCTGGGTATCTTTTGCCCATCTCTTTCCCAGGACACACTGCCATATCACAGGAATCACCTTAAGCCACACTTGAAATCAGCTGAAGACTCATATGTTGTTATTTGAAGTGATACCAAATTCACTTGGTTGGGCAGATTTCAAACTACTAATAAATTTTAAGTAGCTTTAGTTAAAAATGAAAATATGGGGAAAATTTTAGTCTTGTTCTGATATTTCATTCTGATAATTTTAAGCCAAAATATTTTGTTTAGTAAAAATATTTTTTCAGTGTTTTAAATATATTTTGCCTTTTTGTATTGTAAAGGCCTTTCTGTAATTCCAGATTGGATCAAAGTTAAAGAGTACAGATAACCCACAATCAATGCAAAACAACCATACATTTTTAATGTGATTTTAACTATGTCACTTATTCTAAACAACTTAGAATTCTGGAAAAACCTGGCTAAACCAAGAGTAAAACAATCTGAGTTCAAAACAATGGGGAGACCCCTCTGTACCAGAGGGGTGCAGACCTCAGTGCTGTGTGGGCCTGGACAAGAAGTGAGCAGCTGAGTAGGGCAGGGAGTGATCTGAAAAGCTGCACGTTTCCTACACACTGCCACTTGGAAGCTGCAGCCTTTTGCTGTCACTTGATGGGAAATCAGGGAGGGGACTTTGGGAGCAGGAAAACGTTGTCCCTGCACAGCAAAGAGTTCACTTAATCTGCCATCATGGTTAGTCAGCAACAGAGGCGGTGCATCTACTTCAAAGAAGTTGTGAATGGTTCTGCCTGTTCTTACGCTTACTGCTCCTTTGCACAGCCCCACAGCATCAAAGCTGTCAGGGCGTACCTAATTTAGCTCCGTGCTTGTGTTTGTTCACTCACTTGTTTTTATTTAACTTCTCTCAGACCCACTTACCTTTGTATGTAAGAGTTGTTCACTCCCCTGTGATCCAGATCGTGGCTCAGAGTTGCTATCAGCAAAGCCAGCGTTTCTAAGTCAGTCAGTTTGCTCTATATGCAAAAAGTAATGCCACAAGTGAGTTGTGGATTTATTTACTACAATGTGTTTTACATCTGCTTTCTGAATAATGAGAACTGCTCTTAGTACACAAAAGACAACTCAGTTTGGAAATGATTGATTTTATGTTTCTGCTAGGAAGATGCATCTCCCAGTGCTTGCCTTTCCCCTCAAACTAGAAAAAAATTGAATTATGTTCAATGGTGTTCAGACTCCAGAATCTAGGACATGAGAATCAGCAGGGAGTGAATTCAGTGTAGTTAAGAATAAACAATTTATGGAAATTGCAGTGGAGACTGTCAGGATTCCAAAAATAGCAGGCAAACTATCAGGATCATCAGAGATTGCTGGACCGCACACAGAGCTAAACTACCACATGCATTCCAACAGGGAGGGAAGATGGATGTCCTTGCCTTGGTCTCTTTCAGCACCTTTTGTCATTTTCATTAGTGAGATAAAGTTTGTAGAGGAAAGAAAAGCCTCTTCCTTACTGGTATTGGATTTTGACATACAAATGTATTAAAGACATGTTTATTCAGAATGAACAGAAACATTCTGTTTCCTAAAAGAATATAAAACCAAAACATATAGCCTGTTTTGCAAGAATTTAGAATCAGTATTTTATTTATTTAGAGAATCATGTAGCCCTAATCAGAACGATTACATTGTTTTTTAAATTATTAGGTGTCTTTTTAAGTGAAAGGTTGAAAATTTGTTCAAAAGCTTTGGAAGGACCATTTAAATATTTTTTTCTATGTTTTTATGTACTGTTATGTATCTAAAGCTGTACTCAGCTTTGCATTTGAACTTTAAAAATTCCTGTTGAAAATTTTAAGGAAACATCCTGAAAATGGGTCAGCCTTTTTTCTCTCTACTTTTTTGACTTGCTTGTAGCATAAGCATTAACTTTAAAAGGACATAACCATGTACATGCCTTATTAGAGATATTCCCGTTGGGAACATCCCAATAACCGCTTCCAGAGGATTTAACTGAAACAGGGAACCAAAAACCACAGCAGCAGTTTCACAAACCAAGCCCTCATAGCCAGAAGTCTTCAGCAGAAGATTCCACTGACAATACCATGGAATGATGAACATCTTACTGACCTGACAGTCAGAGCTGTGCATCATTAGAGAATTTGTCTTAATAGAGGAACTGGAAATGTACCTGAATTTTCCCAGATTTCAGAGCAGCAAACATGCACTGTGCTGTGTTGAAGGCATGTCTCCAGTTGTGATAAGCAACATTTTTCCGATAGTTTTTCTTCACACTTAAAATCCACCTGCAGAGAACCTTTAAGAAACAGCATCACATAAATGTGTTTTCATAAGAACAGATTTCTAATACATTCAAACTTTCTTAATCCCACTTGAAAACTCTCTTACTAAAAAAAAAATAAATCCATTTAACTCAATTTCAAGTTCAACTGTAACACGCTTGTAACTGTGAACGTTGATAAGAACAGGCTTACACCCGCTAGTACAGCACCTGTTTGAGTGTGTCATACTTGTGGGTTTGGGGTTTTATTGCTAAGGGCTAAATGTTAATGTCAGAAGCACTGCTGTTAATTCAGAAACTGTATGTTGAGATACCTGGGAGAAAAAATCCTTGATTATCGTGACATATTTGATGGAGAAAATTTATTTAGTTATTGAATCTTCTTAAGATCTGTTTTGAAAATAAACAGACAGCTTTTCCCTCCTATCAGTTTGCCAAAACCCAAGCAGAACTGGACTTTGGAAAGCAAATAAGTATGATAGAAAGATTACTACATTGCAGGGTATTTTCTTTTTTATGCTGGAGGAAAGCATGTCCTGGATGTTTTATTCAACAGTATCAGAAATTATGGGTTATATAATTTTATATATATATATATATATATATATATATACACACACACACACATATACACACACTTTCTTCCTACCTTTTTTTTGTAAGGAAGTGACAGTATGAAGGTCAGGTAGTAATTTGATATTGGGATTAAGGTTGTTCACCTTAGTACAGAGGTGAAGCTAAGTACTAGGACGTTCAAGGGATCAGATTGGATAATACAGCACTTTTGGCCCTTGGACACTACTAATCTAAATTGGTCTATAAACTGCTGATCTAGACAATAAATATATGCTTTCTTTAACTAATGTTAAAGAAATGTTGTAGGGCCTATGAAGCCCTACAAATTGATCTTGCATTTTGATATAAATTTTGATGGGTTTGTTGAAAATGTTATAAAGCAAAAATAAGGTATTTAGAAATGAAGATTTCTACAAATAGATGTTGTGTGCACTGAGTGGAAGAGACTGAAGAGATTTTTCTATTTTACTTGTCTTGATCACCTTTGACAGATGTGTTGGTAAAAACCTTTAGGGAAATTCTCACAGCCCATCTATGTTATCATCTGCTTCAATCTTTACTATCTCCATATCCATGAAATTCCTCCTAATCTGTAATCTGTTATTTTGTAGGGAAAGACTAAGATAATTACTACCTCATATGGACATAGTGAACAATGTTATTGTCCTCTTTGTAAGAGTTTTTCACTTCCTGAGAAGTTGCTATCCTCTCTCTCCTCAGTATTCTGTTTTCCAGTCCATTAATCATAGACTGTAAAATGATTTATCCTTCAGTAAAACCAATCTCAGGACAGACCCCAATTCTTCATATGCCTTCCTGGTTTGCTAATTACTCCTTAATACACATGTCCAATTCTATTTACAGTGAGATCATCTCATTACTCTGAATTCCTAATAATTAAGGTGCCTCTTTCTGTGGGCCTGTATTTGGCAGCAACCGTACCTCGTGTTTCATTTGGAAATTTTGCACCAGGTTGAGGTCTGTGAACATTCGAATTGTGCATAGTGTTGTTTCAAAGTCTGACAGCTCAAAGTCGCTGAAGTAGAAGTCAGTCAGGTTGAGAGTTTGTGCAGATGGCACTACAGCAGCCTGGAGAAGAATGAGAGAACACAGCTTAGTGCTAGGGCAGAGAGCAGAACAAATACCTGCTTCTTCAACAGACTAATTAAAAAGAGACACTCAATTTTACCTTCATGTGATACTGAAAACTGAGGATTGCTTCACATTTACTTCTCCATGCCTCCCTTGTTTAACATTACCTTGGATTTAACAAGCACTTTTCCATAGATCAGGAAAACAAGGGTAGAATTACCTGGTCAGTCTGGTTGTCTAAATCACCAGAGGCAAATTGTAACCAAAAGTATTGATGAAATTGGGAGAAGGAGAAAATAAGGCAGTGGAGTTACATGTTTGTTTTTATGGATACGCAGACAGACAAATCCGTAACTGTTGGCATTTTTCTAAAAATGGTGAGGAAAGAGATGTCAGTAAAACAGTTTTGCTAACAGAATCCACATTCAGCATGATGGGAGTCAGAACACATCCACTGGCAGGGCTTTCTCAGGGCTAGAAACCTAAAAAATGAGAGTTCATTTGTGATCAGTAATCTTTAAAACCTGTGGTCAGCGGTTTTGGTGCAGTTTGCATACAACCATAAACCTTCAATGTGAAATTTGAAACTACAAGGTACACAATATACCTGCTATCCTGCATATTTTTAAATCCGAGTTTTTCATTGTCGGTAATATCTCCATGTATTACATCCCACTTCTAGTTGCAAAATACTGAGTATTTATATCTGTTTCCCTTCAAAATACCAGGTTGAGATTATGCTAAGTCTTATATTAACTCTCATACTAACAAAATAAATGCTAAATCTTATACTATAGAACAAAATGTAGTATCATTTTCTGCAGTAGAATAAAAGGTGGGGTTCTCAGTGCTACTGCTGTAGAGCTATTTCACCTCAGTATGAGTGTGGTCCAAAGAAAATCAGGTAAATCTGAAATGGTGAAGGAAATAAACCTTTGTGTTTATCTTTCTCTTTGTAATTCTGGGGGAAAACATTTCTCCAGTGTGGGCAGCTGTGTCCCAGAAGGTGAGGAACTGAAAAGGAAGCATTTGTCATAATCTACAACATTAGTACATGTAACATGCAAATCCGTGGAATTGTGTCTGCCAGCCTCTGTTCCATTTCAGTTCACTGCCCTCTCCCTTGTGTGTCAGAATCAGGAAGTCACAGAAGATTATGAAAAAGAGTATCGACACAGGGAAAAAAATGCACCCTTTTTGCACATTTCTTCTGCCACTAATTTTATGTCCCTGTTTGGATTCATGTGGGATTTCAGCTGTGAGCACATGAAAGGCCTGCATGCTCAGTGGTAAATAATGCAACTGTTCAGCAAAGCTACTGACATAATTTTGAAAAACTGCAGCTGCAGGCTGGGGTTTCACGAGGAAAGGGGCTGCAAGGACACAGAAGGAGCTCAAAAGAACACCTCACTTCATTCATAATTTATCTTTCCCTTCCTTGATCTTCTGCCTTTTACAGCCACAAGAGTAAGTTTCATTTCAGCTGAAATATAAAAACCCTGCACTCTATGACAGTTTATAGTGTTGTTTAACCAGATTAACTATTTCCTTTTTCACTTAATGAAGCCACTAGAGCCTTCTGCCTCCTGTTCTACAGTATGAAAGTTCATCAGCTATTTTAATTTCAATTTATTGAGCTATGGTTTCTGTAAATACATTGGCAGCAAAAAGAAGTCAATGGAAAATGTGGGACCAATGTGTGGCAACTACAGAGAGATTTGCTTTGTTTCATCTGCTTTGGATGATAAAGCACAGGTTGTAGACAGTACCCAGGCTCAAAGGAGGTGACTGATACAATAGAACAGTTCTGTAGTATTTGGAAATGATGATTAAAGTAAAAAATTTGACTGCAGCCTACTCCATAAGGCAGATAAGAATAGAATAGAATAGTGCCAGTTGAAAAAGCCCTACAACCATCTTCTAGTCCAACTGCCTGATAAGTATATATGTTCAGATTATTTAGAAGCAAAAGGTATATCCAGAAAATAATTCACATTATTTTGGCCATCTTTATATGACAATATGAGTGCAGAAAATAAAAACTAAACTAAAAATGTAATGAGTGCAAATAAAAGGCCCATGCTTGTGCTCTGGTATCACCTTAGAAGCAGTGGCTGACACAGGCCAGGACTGTGCTAGGAAGCTGTGGACAGTTAAGCCATGCCAGTGGACACTGCCCCAGTTCTAGGTTTGCTGTGGTCCAGTTTCATCGAGCAGTAACAGTGGAACCACAAAGGTTTCATCACAAGCCCTGAGGAGGAAACCTTAGGAGAGGAGTTGCACTCTGGTCTTGTCATGGCCCTTTATTGATGAGCAGCAGTGTGGTAGGACTGAGGTTCAAAAATCCGTGTGACACCATTCTAGAAGTATCCTTATTCCCGCACCTTGTTGTGTCATTTGGCCAGACCATCCCATGCTACCCAGCTCATGGTCCCCTATGCCTGCCTTCCTCTCCATCCCTCCTGTTTGTTTTCATGCAGCAGGGGTGATGCTATTTCCCTGGAATAGCTGCTGAGGGCTTGGAGAACCTAAGCACATGCTGTGCTTTGAAATGCACTTGAAATCCTAGCTGTAGTTATTCCTTAGGCAGTGGCTTCAAAACACAGAATTAAACATGAGCAGAATAGGACACTGCACAGAAAAGCAACTAGAAAGAAATTTAAAATCATTGCATTAAAAATTAAATACAGAATTTATATGTAAGGCCATAAAGCTGCAGCCATACTTGGGATATTTGAAAGGTACCAAACCTGTAAGATATACAGCACTCAGACTTAGCTGCAGAAAGAAGAGTTCTCAACATTTTGCTTCTGGAATACTTAATCATTATGAGTTTGATACTGACATTGCACCAGTGACTGTCTCAAACTCCTGAGAAAAATCAGTTAGCACAGGTCTGGGTCTCACAGTGCTCTGGCCAGCTTTTGTCTCTCACTGTAGACACTATAATATTTCCCTTTTATGAGGTTCAGCTCAGGAACCCATCAGTATGGGCTTCAATGTCATTTTTATTTCTGCAACATATGCTTCTGCCCCTTTAAGGTTGACATCTATGTACGAGACTGCTCTTGGTTGTTCTACTAAAGCAATATTTCTAAAGTAATAGTAAAAAATGCAATTACCACTGTTACCTGCAGCTCCCTCGTTTCCTCCTCAGCAGCAGAAGCATGGTATGAGAGAACCTACAGGAAGAAAAAGCAGCCCTTAGTACAGAGAAAAAAGCCATGAGATAACAAGGTACTTTTCATAGAGCAGACTTTCCAGCGTTCCACTGCATTTGATGATGAAATTTTCTGTCCATGCAGGGCCTGAGCCAGTTTTAGGGAAGCTCTCTGAATGCATATGGGGAGATATCTGCATCTTTCACAAATCTCCCACAGCACAGAATCTTCTTGAGATAATTAGGCCAAGAAAACATAAATAGCTTCTATGAAAGAGCAAAGAATCTGATTTTCTCTTTGAAAATTTTTCATGGCCCATTTTCAAAGGCAAATAATGCACAAAGCAGCTCTTATTATGAGCCTGACATTATAGCCATAGTATTCTTTCAAGAGTTCAAAAATTCTTTCAAGAGTTTATTCAGACATGAAAGAAAGTTTTACCCTAACTGAAACTTGGCCCAAAAGTCTGAAAGACAATACATTAATTTTAAATTTTAAAAAAAAGCTCAGATTTTTAACTATTGAGAACATACGACATGAAAATGTTACAGAGTTTTATTTTTTTTTAAAGAACCCATTTAATACACTAACCTATAATCCGGAACTTCTTACAGCATCTATGAAGTGCTATAGTTGGAGACAGAATTGCTAATTTGCCATATAAGCAAATTATTTGGACAATAGTTTTACAAGCTTTTTATTTAACATGACCTAATACAGGTTTATTTGAGAAGTGTAGTGTTTCTGTTAGAGGCCACAGGGCACATAATCCCATTTTAGGAGCTCTGCAAACACTCTGTTTACATAATGGATGTTAGGAGATCCAAAGTCTACACATTTTTCACTTTCAGCTTCAAGTTATGACCCCTGAGTAATTCAGTTTCTCAGACTAAAGCCCTCTTCAGCTGTGAAGCTTAACAGGAACCAATTTAAAGGCTGTGACCAGATGATGTTCATCTTGATATGGTTTGATGGAGTCTGAGGAAATTGCTGAGAGCCTACAATAATGCTGCAGTTAACTCCTCACACTGCTTTGTCTGAAGGACTGAGCCAAAATCATCACCAAAACCTTCAGACAAGAAGAGGAAACCCCTTAATTTGCCAAACCATTTCTCCCTTCCTACACAGCAGAACGCACCCACTGTGCTGCCAGCGTGCAGCCTCATGGAGAGCAAGAGCCTCCAGCTCCTCACTCAATCTCAGCAGTAAAGTGAGGACACAGTACCAAATAAAGAGTCTGCTGGCAGAGTCAGAAACAAGCAGAAAATTCCTGAGCAACTCAACAGTCCAAATGCTGCTCTCCTGAGGGATAACAATCTCTGTTGAGTGTCCCTGGGAGTAGCTGCTCTTACATGCAGAACAGAGAGGGTCTGGGGAACATTAGGATCTGTTTGGGGCTAATTAAGGACCACCTAGATTTAGGCTCACCTCTAGTGTCACCATCTGCTTGGCCATGGCTCTTTCTACAGCCTCATACATCTGTGTGTTCTGGATCCCCAGGCCACAAAAAATGACAAATGCTTCCAGAAACTCCTCATCATTTCTGTTGAAAGCCTTGATTTTCCCCGAGTTGTCTTCCATCTTATTCACAAGCTGGCAAACTCCTATGTCAGGACACAGAAAAGAAAGGAAGTAATACAGAGAACATATCACCATCAGGAATTAAGTTTAGGCCAGATAATCCTACAGTATAAACCACCAACATGTGACACATAGGAATTTTGTAGGATTTTCCTTTTTTTTCCCCCCAGAGTGCAGTTTCAATGTATTATAAAATAAATGTTAAAATTTTATATATTCATAATAAATTCAAAAGTACTTATTAGGATTTGTAAACCAAAAATGTAGGGCTTTAGAGGTTTGATTGTCCTGTCAAATTCAAGGGTCGTTTTCATCCTAACTTTTATTATTAATACTATTCTAGATTGATATAATCCCTAAAGACAATTTGTCCTTTGGAGGCTAATTAAATTTTTGCAACCATGCCAAAAGAACATTTATCAAAGTCAGAACAGTGGTACACAGAGTTTTCACTTCCTCATTTGAGCCAGTACTAGGATTTTTTTCAAGTAAATGAGCTAAACAGGGAATACCCAATATGAGGTTCAAAGCTGAAGTACACTCAACCTTTTTTTGAAGATGTGGTTGAATTACAGCCTCTTGCAAACACTACTGAACTCCTTGAGAAACATCTGACTCAATTCAACTTAGGTTCAAATGTGCTGATATTTACATTTGTTAATTTTGTGTTAAGAATTTCTGGGCCTTTCTGCACACATGTCATTGAAGAAGTCTGACAGGTAGCTTCTACCACACCTTGCTGCAGTTTAAATCCCCGACACCACTGTGAGCAGGGAGAAATTCAGAAACACACCCGCCCTCAGTTTTACCTGCTAAGATCACAATATTAATTAAAGCAGCTGAATTACAAGAATATGTTTTCTTTGGCAATGAGTATTGTCTTAACAGACTCCAAATGCTTTCTCACTGCCATGAGCAAAAAGTTGCATTTTCCTGGCCAAGTGCCAAGATAGCCCAGCTGCAAATTAAAAATTCTGAAAAAACTTAACCATGTGTGCATCTTCCCTGTTACAGCTGATAATAAAACCAAGGAAAAATGCAGCACACACAAACTGTGGTTTTAGAAGAATGTTAGCCTCACAAGTTTTGATGTCTGGTGACAATGGAACATTGTCCTGTTTCCAAATTGTATTCTGTTTGAGGAACTTGGCATCAGAGTCTCCTCTAAAGAGACCAAGACTGTAACCATTGAGTGTAATGGCAGGGATTGGGGTATCTGAATATTGCAAACAGAATTCTGAACCTTCATGGAATGAGATTGAAAGGAATGGATCACTGAATCACATAATCCCATTAGAAAAGAATTCATTCAAATAAGAAACGAGATTAACTTTCCCTGGGAAAAAAGAAGCTGATTTACAAAACTCTTCAGGAAAATCCCACGAAGCTGACCTTCAGATTTCTGTTTAGTACAGCTTATGAAATTATAATTATTTCCATAGCAACCGTGATGCAAGATTAAGACAGTGAATATGCCACAAAAGTAAATGAATTCTTAAAGGACACAGTATTTGCACATAAATGTCTCTTTAAAAAATAGAGAACTGCAGTAAATATACTGTGTATTACTTAAAACTCTTTAACCTCTTTCAAAAGTTTCCCCAAAGTACTGAGAGGTCCATTGATTACAAATTAAGGAACTGCAAAGTCTTTCACTGGGACAGAGTTATAAAATCACAGCAGGATTCTGTAAAGCTTTTATCACATACCTGGGAAATGTACAGGTCAGGAGAATAAAGTTCTTTTCATCTTTCTTGCTAGTAAGATTTGCTTGGGTTTCATGTGGACAGTTTTTCTTACCCCCATCCCACTTCCTAAATTCTGGTTTGGGGCATCCTAATCTTAAAAATAATTTTAAAAAGAAACCAGACTTATAATAATAGTCATACATGCTTTGTAGTATTGTAAAGGAACTTCTGGGTACTATCCCAAAGAAAACTTCTTGACCTTGCCCTATTAAATAATTGAACATGAAGCAGTTGTGAAACCATAAAATACTTCAAAGAACATTTCCCGATGAGAATGACTCAGATTTGAAAAGCCCACCTAAATGGGTGGCCTGACTGAAACTTTCAGTTTGAACTTCAATAGACAATCTCAATAGAAAAAAAAAGCAGATGCAACTGTTTTATCAATAGCTCGCAGCATGGTGAAATATCCCTAATTAAAGCTCTACAGTTCAGTCTTCATTTTAGTCTTCTAGGGATTGTTGGAATATTTAAAGTAATAAAAGAACTCATGAAAGAAGCTAATAGCAAAAGAAATTTCAGAGAACTCCATTAGATAAAGATGAGGTTTCTTGTACTGCTTCAGATGTTAAAAAGCTAAATCTGTCTTCACAAAAAAGACATCAAATTTACTCTATAAATTGGGCCATGCAGTTTTGCCATCATTCTCAAAGAAAATTATTTCAAGATCATTAAAAAGTCATTCTTGGAACTCTTAATATTTACTCGTCAATTTTTTTAAAGCTGATGAAATTGGATCCATTCTCCTGTCTAAGAATGAGTACATTTTATTTTCTGTTTGTGGGGCTTACTGATCCCATACGCTGACACTCATTTTCTACTCTTTAGCAGCTTGTTAGGTGAGCAATTTATATTCATGGTTGCAACAGACTTACTAGTTGAGAACATGATAATTAAGGATCTTCTCTCCTGGCTTCAGATTGCACGTTGCTGTGATTTTATCGTGGAGCACATAAATTTATCTACAAAATGTACAGCGTTATTTTTGTTAAGATACCTACCTATCACTTTATTCTTTTTCCCATTTTTTATTGGTGTACACAGCAAACTCTTTATGTTCCGACTTAGATTTTCTGCATTGTCATTCTGTTAAACAAACAGAAAAATACAGTTACCATTTTAAAAGCTGCTTTTCAGGTGGCTGAAGTGAAAAAGCTGTAGAGCTGGGCTCTACAACTACTCTAGGCTTACATCTTCCTTTGAAGAGCAACCAGGTGATCAATGAGTTTGCCCACAAACAGCAGGCAGGAAAACTACTACAGCTGAGTCAGCGTTCTGCACTCTTCCCGGGACTTTGCAGCATGTCCCATGCTCCAAGAGAAGGAGATGAACTCATTTGGGAAGAGGAAGGATAGAACAAAGAGGTAATGCCTCCTTTTCAAACACCTGGGGAGAAAAGGGCACAGCTCTGCTCTGACTGCCCTGGGAATAATGTGGCAGTTCTTGAGCAGTACATTTGGTCTGACCTCCAATTGTGTGTGGCACCAAAAGAAATGGGCACACACTAATATTTCTGATCAAAAGGTTATCTTTTTTTTATATATATATTTGCACAGCTCTGCTGCTGTGCAAGGGCTATAGAGAGTATCTTGGCAGGATTTTCATGAGGTGAGTAAGTGTGCTGTTGAATGTCCTCCAAAGAAAGAGGCAAGCCAAGGTTTCTAGGGCACTGGCAACACCTGGGATTTCCCTCATGTCAGGGTGCATCAGCTTTCAAAACATTTATCCTACTGCCCTGCTTCTGCAGTAGTGCACGAGCAGTGTCTGTGTTGCTGAAAAACATTTCCAGATTCCTTCTAAAAGCACTAGTCCTCTTTTAATACTTAAGGTGAATTCCAGGAAAAAGAAAAGAATCAAAATAACTCTAAGTCTACTGGACAGCCTGTTTCCAACAAACAGTTGTTTGGATGATTCTCAAGGTATCAATTTTATTTTTAAATGTCTTCAAAATCATCATCTCGTTATTAATCCATAAAGTATATCCATTGGATTCTGTCTGTACTTCCAGTCCTGCTGATAAGACAGGCTTAGTCTGAGAACTCAATTCCTGTGTTGCTCAATCTGTCAGAGAAACCCACTCCAGAACATCCAAGAAGCCTTGCACAGGAAAAGAAAGGGAAACAACCCAGCTCCCCACCAGGAGCCTGCCCCTCCTTTCCACTTACTGGAACAATCACACTGAGCACTGTCTTTTCTGATCATTTTGTTGTGTATCTCAGAACAAATTTTGGTAAAAAGCCATCTGCTGGACCACAGTAGCTCCTCTCCCCTCTTGTCAACAGGCTTAAACAGGAAGAGCAGACATATTTCTAATTTGTGCATTGAAAATATGGGAAAATACGTAATTAAAAATTTGCTTTTTGCTGATGATGACCACAAAGGAAACCTCACTGGAACCTGAGCCTTGCCAAGTGACTTCCCTCCTCACTGTCCAGTATCCCTGTGCTCAGTCATCCACTGCATCACCAGCTCACACTTGAGCAAGTATTAGGCAAAAGCTCCCAGAGAAAAGTGAAGTTGATCCATCTCAACTGCAGCAAAGAACTTGCATGTATAATATTCATCTTTGCCAGAATGAGAAGGGAAAGGAAAGGATAAAAAGGAAGGAACTTCTGAGAGCCTCCCAACACTCACTCTGAGTTCACACCATTTTAACTGGAGTCACCCTGACAGAAATAAGAGGAAAGCAAAAAAGGTTTAAAAGTTAAACAGAAAAACATTTTACATTTCTGAATTTCAAACTTAAGCTTATTTTACGTACTGTCCATGGAAATCTTCTGTCTTTGCAGACATCTGGGATGTTGAGCGGCTCCATCGTATTCTTCACATACTGAGCGTACATGTAATTGATTTTGTTTGTGTCATAGTCCCTGAAGGATACAACATTATTATTATTATTATTATGTGCTTTGCATAAAAGTGAGTAATTTCATTAGGCTAAGCAGGTAATAGGAATATCTTTCCTATATGAGAGAAGGATATATAGATACAACCAGTAGATATATAATGGAGTTGAGTTCAAATCCTGTATCCTAATCCAGCTGTCATCACAAAAGTGCAGCATGGATTGGTGCATGTTTTCCACCATTTTTTAGTGTTCAACAACATTAACACTGAACACCAAACTGAAGAAATAAACAATTCCCTACAGTTTACACAGATGAAGGATAAAGAATGAACAGCTGGGTTTATACAGAAATGAACAGAACTATTTGAAAACAAACTGCATTCACAAATCTGGTACTCCTGAAAAACCAATGTTGGGTGAAATTCACATATTAGTTCAAGAGAGTGCATCTGGTGTCACTTGTGAATTTTCTGCTGCTAAGTTAATTTCAAATTTGTTCTAAAAGTAAAGACAGTCACATGGAGGTTCTGTTACTGAAATAGAACTGTCTATTCCAAATCAGGCCATAAAGCATCTTTACAGAATCAATCATCTCCACTTTTTTAGCCATGATTTATTTAAGGTATTTTAATTCTCTTGGACCCTTTGCCTGCCTTGAAGGAGGACATATACCCTACTTATAAACCTATTCCCATCAAGCTCCTGTAGTTTCCCTCCAACACTTGGCTCGATTTTCGTTATCCTCCTGGTGTAAGGATGTTCCAGGGCTGGAGGACAGGAATTACTCTTTTGTTATTTCACACATACAAGGCAATGCCTCACAATTCTGAAAAACAATCTGATTTGGAGCTTGATTCAGTGTCCTTGATTGCATAACAAGCCTGAAATGTTATATTATGTAAAGTAATACTTCCCATCTAATCCATGTCATTGTATTTCTGCTCTTGCCTGAAATTGTGCCCTTCAAGCATAGCAGAAGTTCTAACTGCAGTGGTTGACTGAATGCAGTCCTAGGCATTTCATTGTGCTGTCTCGTGAACAAGAATCCGATAGGCAGCTAAGCCTCCAAGACTCCTCTTCCCTATCAGATGTGAGAAAAGTTCCTGACAGCCCATGCAAGCAGTAAATAATATTTTAAGTCCATTAACTAGTCACCATAAAAGGGGTAATGAGGAGGAAGGCTCCCTTCTTATAGAGAAGAAGAGGACTAGAGAGGAATTTTCTTTTTCACCTGTGATCTTACCAGGTTGTTGTACCTGTGGACTTTCTGGTGGAACACTGTCTAAAACTGTAACACAGCTCAACAGCTTTTAGTTGCTCAAATCACACACTTTGGACATCATTCTCTAATATAGAGAATTAAACTTAATATGATAAATATTTACTGCAAAACAACATCAAAGGGGCTCAAAATCTGTTTCCTCCCTGCACAAAATAGCTGTAGTAGAGTATTTTATATACAACTGTCTCTCTTTCTAACAGGATTTGAAACAACTGTTTGAGTAATTTTCAAACTTCACTAGAGAGGTTCAGGCTAACTTTGGGAAGTATTTTATCTGGGTATTTTAATTCAGCTCTTTATCTCTTTTTTTTCCTCCCAGTTGAACTCCTTAGGGGTTTCCCAAAGATGAGTGAGCGTTAGAACTTTAGGACTCCAGTCTTGATTTAGTCAGACATGTTCTTTGAGTAATTTTCCTTATCTATGAGTTGAGGATAATGATTAAAATAATTGATTAAAAGCATTATTTTGGTTATTATCTACTAATTTGCATATGTCTCCTTTATAACATAGTCATCCACACAGATTTCTTTGAAATCAGTTTTAGGGCAGCTCCTCTGTGCATTTCCATAGCTTAGCCTTGAAATACAAATATGTTTTTAGACTAGCAAAGTGAATTGATCAAGCCCTACTCCTGCTCTGCTCAGTGGCACCTTTTTAAGGCAAGAGAGTTGGTCTCTGCCCACTTCAGGGGAAAAGCTGCTCTATAAAAATAGCAGTAATACATGGGATCCAGCAGAAATAATTCTGTTATTATGAAAAGAATATTAAAAGCCTAAGTTTCTTCAGAATTCTCCTAGGATGAACAAAAGTCAGAATTAATTGGTTTACCTCTTCAGATTTTCAGCTGAATCCTCTAATTCATCAGATTCCATGTGAAAGACACTAGAAAATGTATCCTGGAATATCAAGAGGATGCTTGAATACACAGGTGTATAAGGTTGTCATTATTTAGAACAGTATTACTCATTAAAACCTTGTTGCAGTTATCAAGGCCTATTCTGTACTACAGACAAGTGTAAAATTTAGCTTCATCCACATCTGTCATCAAGCATACTGGATCCTACCATAAGGGTATCTTTTGATACAACTTTAGGTATCACAGAAGTGTCTTGAATCTCTACTCATGACCCAGAGAAGATTTACAAGCTGTGCCAAACTGATATATCAGAACAGAAATTCTATAATTACATAAAAGCCAGAACCTCTCATGTCAACACCCAACCTGAGCAGATGCCACAACGGAAAAGATAGAAAATGAAATGACAAGATAACATATGAGAATGGAAGGAAGCCAACCCCACTCCCAGGGAATAAACACTTCTGCCTTCAGACAGAATAAACATACTCACTGGACAATCTTCATCCACTATGAAGATGGTACACTTCTGCACCTGCATGAAGGATATTATAGTGGCTGCTATCTTCTTCAGGATCACCTCCAACGACTGCTGCTCTTCAAAAATCAGGCTGGCAAGGTCAAGAAGCACCTGAAGAAAAGGTAATTTGTGAGGATTTGACTAATTTTGATTTATGCAATCACTATTGTTACTAATGTCTTTAAGTCTTCTCCTCTTCCCTGAATCAGGAAGTCAATGTTTATGTCTGTGACCATAAGTAAGTTTTGGCTCTCACAGATTTCAAGGTAACAGTCAGTATTAGCCAGTTTGACACTTTTTATAATATCAGAAATATAAATATCAGACTATCAGCTGTCTGATATTTTCAGTCAGAGAAGCAGAATAGATTCAGGCATTAATAGGTCAAATGAAACCTGTGAAATCCAGACAACAATTCCTTGCTCTTAGGAAACCTATTTTCCTATGGCTCATGTGCACATTCTCAAACCACTGAGTTTTTAAGACTTCTGAACACAGTTATTCTTGGTTGTAATTCTAACAGATCCTAATTAACTTAATCATTTAGATACACTGTGCTGTTTTTCAAAGCTGCTGTTGAAAGATTTAGCTGCTCATATATGCTCATTTTTTTTTCCTCACAAGAAACACGAAAGCATTTAATAAACTGTCCAAATTTGTACCAATTTACAGACACTGATAGTTGGAAACTCAGACCTACTAGGAAAATTTTAAAAGAACTGCTGACTAGTCTTTTCTCTGAAACATCACGTGATACAGGGCAAGCATATTCACCCATAAAGGCCATGGCATTAATAACCCATCAAAACCAAGTTGGCAGCAAAGTAGAGCTATAGCAATCAGAAGGAAATTCAGTTTTCCAGTTGATCATTACTGAAAACATGGTTAGTGACTGTTATACTAAAGGAACAGTCTGTATGCCCTCTGCTATTCCACAGGGATATTCCTCCCTGTAATTTCTGGAGTCTGACACCTCTGGTTGTTAAATACATACGGTGAACCACAGGATAACTACAGGCAATATAAAGTATATTAACATGGAACCAATTTTCTGACATTTGGCTCTACCTGCTTCCCCTAGACAGCCCAGCTGGAATGCACCCAGCCTCTTCCCAGTGCAGCCCAGGAGAGCTTTATCAGAGCCACCCAGCATTCAGTCACTGGGATTAACAGCAGCCAAGGAATAACTACCACATCACAAACAGGAAGAGGAGGTGCTGATTACTTGCAAACCCTCCTGATTTGTGTATCCCTGGACAAACCTGTTGGCCGTACCTGATTGCGCCTATTCTCGAGCAGAGACGTCTCGTACAACTGCGCGTTGTGAAGAACGATTCCACAGAACGCCAAATATGCTGCAAAATCCTGGAGACAAATGAACATCCACATCTCACAGAGATAATGTCCCACAGCATTTGAACTCTATTCAAAGATAAGCTACTGCAACGTTTTGTTTGCACTCTGAAGTATTAATTGATATTTTTGTTGGTTTTGGCAACCGCACGTTCAGGATCTGGGGTTTTTTCAGCTACTCATAATTTCTTATTTCCTCAAGAATCCCTTCTCCTTTTATTTAGCTAAAATCTGAAGATCATTATCTTGGTACAAGTAGGGGTCATCTGAAAAGCAGCTTCAAGGAAAAAATAATTGTGCAGCAATGCATATTTTAGCAAGAAAAACTGACCACAGAAAACCAGCCTCTCTGAGGGAATTCAGTCCCTTCAGTGAAGTGGAAAGAAAGATTTTCTAACATAGCAAACCCACAGGTTTTTCCTCATTCAGAATGGGATTAATTCTAATATCCTACAAATACTCAGTGTACATTTTACTTGAAAGGGGAATTTTCCAAAGAGAAAGAATAAATTCTGATTCTTTTATTGCTGATTGTTAAGTCAGCTTCTTCAGCCTGAGCACAGCCTGGGCTTTGCCCTGCCAATCTGAACGTGAAGCCTGGAAATTTTTGGAATGCAACCACACTGGGAGAATTAGGAATCCATTCTATTGTCTGCTCTCCTGATTCTCTCATATATTCATAATTTATCTGAAGCTTTTTTTTTTTTCCTGCAAATGCTATACTGAGATGTGACATGGTATTTAAAAGACAGTCACTCCATAAATGTCATTGTTCAAATTGTGTTTCTTGGGCTTGCCAGGAGAGTTAGAACCAAGTAATTAAAAATTATGTCCATTGAAATTTATCAAAGTGTTTTACAATGCATTTCAGTAGAGTAGGCCTGTGTTTCAGAGATACATGACATGTGATCCAGAAATTAAATTATTTCACAGCCACATTTCTCATGGCCTCATAAAGAAAAAAGTCTGCAGTATTTCCAGGAACGTTCACATTCTCACAGATGTTTAATTTTAAATAACTTAAAAATTTCTGAGTAGCAGGAATTTGTCTCTTCCCCTATGAAAACAGAAGAGACAAACATGCAGTTTTTATACCTTTTCATCTTGTTCAGTGAAAGTGCCGTCAATTCCAGATTTCTTGTTGATTGCTTGAGCCACACCAACAACCTAGTGTATTAAAAATGGAGAAATTAGCTAATTTTAGGGGTCTGTCACTGAATTCCATTTCCAGGCATAATTATGTAAGATAATAAATGATCATTGTAGGTATTCGCTTGGTTCACTATTGAATCAAATTGTTGGATAATGAATGTTACTCTCTCATGCAGAAACATTTCCTAGATTACAGTATTTGAAGACCTTAGCCTTTCCCTAATATAATTCTGTGTTTTCATTTCTTTTGAGACAAAGTATTACTAATCTGACAAAGTATAACTCAAAGCTTTTAGATATTTTCAGATTTTTAGCATGATTACAACAACTGATAGAAAAAGCGGCAAAGAACTTTTTTTGTTTGAAGTGTCATTAGTGTAAAACCAATGCAAAATGCTAATGAGTTTTTTTTAATCTTGCTTTTTTAGGATATACACTATCAAAGGAAAACTGTGTGGTGAGCATGTTTAAAAAGTTGCGTTTAACCATTCATGGTGAAGCTGTAACTGCTGAACTGATGGAAGACATGTGGTTTTATTTTGGTAATGGAAAAGAGGACAATTTACTATCTCTCAGTCCAGCATTCCCAAAATTCTGATGCTGTAAGTAAGGCCATTGTTCTTTAACATGAATCACTGCCAACTGTGGGCTCAAAAATGTCTGTCTGAAATAAAGTTCAGCTGTCAGCTCCATTCCATACAACCCCAATTTTCCCACAGTCAACCTCTTACTTCAGTAAGGAATATTTCTTACCCAGTGGACTTCCTTTCTGTAATAACTGTGTACCACCAGCCTGTATGCTCCTCTGGCAGACTTTGAATGAAAAAGTTATTATGCTTTTATGTTCACCTACATGTGCAGAGGTTAATGCTTAGGCCTCTTCTCATGCTACTGTCTCTCCTGGGTGCGGATTTAATTTTTTTTTTTTTCCAGTTTTGATCCAGCATGAGCTAAGACAACTTTAGCAAGGTCAGAGGCTTTTCACCCAAAAGGTGAGTGCTTTCATGTTGGTTGTTTAAATACATCCCCTCCATGAAAGGAAAGTCTGCAGTGCTTTGAAAAAAGCTATAAGAAAACAGTAAAAGGACCATATTAATACAGAAAAAAAAGACTATTTAGGCTCCTTTCATCAGCATTCCAGGTTTCAGATACATGAACAAAGGCAGGTGTTCCAAGAGCAATGGTCAGTTTTAGATCTTTGATAAAGTCTTTCAGTAAAGGATTTGAACGGAAGGGGAAGGATGTAATGAGGAGAAAAAAACCTAAAAATCCATGTTGACTTGATTAGGATGAAAATTTTATGCATATACAAATGTTTCTCATTTTAGTTGCTGTTTCAGTGGCATTCTAAGCTTCCAGACAACTTTGTGTTGTGCCCATTTCTTTTTCAGACAAAATGAACAGTTTTAAAAATTAAACTGTCCCAAATTCTGCCTTCATTTGTGTCAGTTAAAATTTCAGTGCACTTTTCAGAATTCCATAGAATATGATGCAGAGACAGTAATGAGAAAAACTTCAGTGGGGCATTTTTATGCCATTGGAGTCTTGCCTGCAACCAGGTAATTAGGAGAAGATGTAGGAAACTCGAGAGGATCTGCTCCTGTTACTAAAGTAATTATGTAATTAGGACAAAAGTCAATCATGTGGTAGCATTTGGGGCTATGGAGAACATACGCTTGCATTTTAGAGAACTCTAAGCACAGCATGAAACTCAAATCCTCATTTTTAAAACTTATTGTACACAAATCACAAATAATAGGCCAAATCTGATCTCCAGCTGGGAGTTATGATTGCATCAGCAGAAAAACTGAATCAAAGGTGATCAAGTGCTCTAGGCTCCGCTAGACAGGGAACTAAAAAAGCTTTAAGATATTACTCTGGACCGAAGAAAACCAAGGCTAAGGGAAGGACTGAAGTCATTAGGATCTGCTTATGCTTTGACACTTGTGAGTTGATGGCCTAATCACTGAAGTGAGCAGTGTACTGTGGAGTACTACAAGCTCCTTTTCCTGAGCTTTCCCTCCAGTTTGGACTAGGCAGGTGGGGTTATAGAACACAGTCTGTCTAGAGGAGTCCTGCAGTTCCCAACAAGAGCCTTCTTCCAGGTTTGCTCTGTTGAAAGAGCTTAAGGGGTGAGCAGAAGGAAATTCCCCTTGGATCAGAAACTCAGTACTTTGCTCTTTTCCATACAGATCACACAATACAGACATAGACCACAAAGACAAAAAGCAATTTTGATGATGGAATTGTTCCCTTACTTTCTATTCCAAAGAAGAACAAACCTTTCAGCAATTGCTGATTCAATACCCACCTGTGTTTTACCACATCTGAACACAGCTTTCCTGATTGTATTCTTGCTGATAACACAGGTGATCTTCTTCCAGTGCTCTACCTGTTCTGTAACCTTTCTTTTCTAGCTGTGCTACTTTTCCGATTTAATAAATCCTGATCCACATTACAAGGAGAGATTTCTTCTAATTATCAGATAACTAAATTTTTACTGTTTTCTTGCAATAGCTGAGTCCTGCCTCTGAAAGTAGCAGGCTACCTTGAGTGCCCAGCAGGTGACAACTGATGGCTTTAATGCACATGGCTGTGCTCTGGATTTTCTATGGATGGTTTCATGCTGCAATATTTTGCACATTAAAATCACAGTCCTAACTGTGTGAAAGCTGTTCGAGCTCTAAAGGCAGGTGGTGCCTTTTTCAGCAGGTTCTTACTTCAGCTGACTTCTGATGTAATTACTAATGCTTCTTAAGGAGATATATATTTTATTTACTTTGCTGGCACATGAAAGAAAGTTACATTAAAGCCAAAGAATAGTAACAGAAATGAGAAAAATAACATTTTTGATAAGAGAAGATACCCACTACAGAAGACAAAGCAGTGTTGACTTTACTTGGCTCTCCTGGTTTTGTAGAGGTTGGATTCAAACTTATAAAATTATCCTGCAGTGACAGAACTGTATTTACAGACTTTCATTTTTTATCAACAAAACTTTCACATCCCTTTCTATCGCTCGTGCCAGCAGCAGCCTCCACGCTTTGCAGCAGTCTGGCTACTATAATGGGTCTCTCAGCATAAGCTGAAAATCCATCCAAGAAGCAAATTACTGATCTCCATAATCCTGCAGCAAGATTGCTGCTGGAACTGAGTTTGTTTAAAGTCAGCTTGGCTAGACCTGCTGTGTCCTACAATGATTGGGATGTGCTATCTGAAGGGCTTTCTGAGGGAGAAGATGACTTAGCTGGCTAAAGGTGACATACCCAGTCCCATTTTACACCATAAAATTTAACAGGGGATTTTCAAAGGCTGTTGTAAGTAGCAGGACCCCTGATTTTTTGGGAAAAGCTTCCCCGTGACAGGAGATAGGTCCCAGTAAGCAACAAACCAAACAACTGAGTAAACATTGCCAGAAAAAAACCGCCAACATTTCCCTAGACAATTACTAGGAAATTCAGTCTTACATGCTCACAGCATGAGAGAGACGTCTCAGTTAAGTCAGCTGAAAGCTCCACACGAGAAAAACCCACCGATTTGAGTAGAATATAAACTGAGATTGCCTTTGTGAGAATTACTATGCCCAGCTCAAAGAAAAAAAAAAAAAAAACAAAAACAACAAGAAAACCAGCAATAACAGAAAATTGTGTCACTCCTGGAGATGTTGTGTGGTAGTTGTGGTGGCTCTGTGCTTCAGAAACCATCCATTCTCTAGGTATCCCAAACCTGCTGAAAAGCTCCACAAGTTGGTTTAAGCTGAGGAATGGACTAAGGACATCTATTCCCTATCCAATCTTGTCAAAATGACTGTTTGTTTACAAGTGTCTACAAAACTGTATCAAAGGTAAAGTCCTCTTCCTGCACTGCAATGTGTCTCATTGTTACTAATTCCTGGGTCCTTTCCCTGAGCTCTTCTGTGAATCAAATTGTTTTCATTTATGGAATTTCTTACTAGCTGTTATTTTTAAATGAGACTTTGGTTTCTCACATGCCTCGTGGAAATAGAGGCAAATGTGAAAAACATCTACTGGAAAAATCTCCGTACTTCAGCAGGCCCAGAGGATTTAGTAATCAGCATGAGATTTTCCTCCTCTCAATTACTGACTCTTTTGTTTTAAAAAAATAGCACAAATACTAAACAAACAAACGGAAAGCCCCAGTTGCTCCTCTTTCTCAGTATTTATTTTTGGATGTCTTCCAGAATCATCTTTTAACTGTGATTGCTAACATCCTGGGCTAAGGCAGCATTCACAAGCCTCAATATTTCTAGAGAGGCTTTGGGAATTTTTAAATTTTATCTATTTATTTTTTAATAGGGAGGAACCAATGTTCTGGTTCTGTTGTTTGGGGGATTTTTAAACAGAAAAAGCAGCAGGATGCAAATGGAAAATTAAGGACTGATTGACTGACTCCAGTGTCTCTCCAAAAACATGTCAGTCATTTGTTACAGTGAGAATGAGAGAAACCTTCTGGTAGAGACTGTAGAACTCTGAAAAAAATTAGTAACTGCCATCCTTCCCTGTGAGAAACCTTACAGTTTAACACCTTCAAGTTATTGCTTGTGAGTATAAGACTCCTCAAACTTCAGGTTGGCTGAACTTGTCAAAATAAACAAATTCCTGCCTCATTTCCGCTTGCTGATGCACTCAGGAGGAGGAAGCTGGCCGAAGACACGGCCCATTGCAGGTTTATTCAGCCCTTCAGTCATGGTGGACTGGACAAACAGACCGCAGCTCTCATGCCTTCCCCACCCACCACCAGCACCTGGTGAGAACTGAGCACTTCCACACTCCCCAGGCAGCAAGGCTTTGTAGCTCATTTCTGTACCCAGTTCTGTGGGGCATACCATCTCTTTCCATTTGACAAAAAGAAAATGGCATGGCTTGGGTGAAATTGGAAGCCTTGCTTCAGCCTGACATGGACCACTGATCCCTGACAGTTCTTCACATGGCATCTGCTTTGTTCATCTTCTGGCCCAGGGCCAGCAGTGACTGCTGCCAGGTGGAAAGAGAAAGACTTTTAAGCAGAAATGGGAGGAGAAAAGGATCAAGTGCTGTCCTTGGAAGAATGGAACAAAAAATTTAAGCTGAAATTTGCAGAATGTAAAGAAAGGAAATACCGGCTGATCATCTGGGTTGGCTAGAATAAGATTCAATAAACAAGTTAATGCAGGAGTTTAATAAACTTACTTTATAAGTATAAATTTATAATACTGCATTGAACCTTTATAAGGTTCAATGCAGTAGAAGTCAAGGTGACACTCTAGAGGAGGAGTGAAAGATGGAAGAGCAGAAAAAAGGTATGATGCCTTCAAATCAATCTTGGCAACATTTCTTTTTGGGAGCTTGAGCTTTCTGGAAGCAAACTATGAACACTCTGAAAAATAAATGAATTCCAGGAGAGAAATCGCCATTTCAAAGCTCTGACACACTGTGTGGAGGGCCTTATATTTTATGAGTATTCTAGAACTGATTAAAGGCCACTACAGTGAGGATCAAAGAAAATCCAACCAGACTTTCCTTACTCCCAAAGAGTGCATCTCCTCTTTTCCCCATTCATTGGCTTTCATGGACTTCACTGAATTCACTCTTCAAATAGTCAGGGTAAGAAGGTGTTGTTAGCCCATAGGAAAAATTCTTCCTACTGCAATAGGATGAGACAGGATGAGAGAGCTCCCATGAGATGCAGCATGGAGAGGAAATATGGGCAAGAGTTCAGTGAGCAGATTCACATTGTTTCAAATTAGGAGTGATTTAAGTTATGACTTGAGGATGACTTTTCTGAATCACATTGACACTGTGTTTTTCAATGCCTGATGTCAGGCTCTTAGCTCATAAGTAATAAATTAGGAACCATGTTAAGAGAGTGTAAAAATAATCAGGTTTTTAGAAAATGATAAAATCCAGTTTGTGCCCTCTGAATTAAGCAATATAGATACAAGCTAAGCTGAAGTACAGTAACTTAATCACAATTTGAGATAGACCAGTAAGTGTGCAGAGAACTTCAATGCTGAAAGATACTGAGTACAGGAAGTAGGAACAGCACTTCTGGAGTTAAATATATATATATTCTACTGCTGCATTTGGGAATTAAACTCTTCCTGACAGTTGCCTTTGGCTTACATTACTCAACTAGATAAGATAAAATTACAGTCTAAACAAACATAAGCAGTCTTGTTAAAAAAAAAAATGGTTGGAAGATGATGACTGCCAGCTAATGAAAGTTTAAAGCATCAGCATGACCGGAAACAGTGTTACATGAAGTGATCCCAAGACTACAACTTACCTCTTCCCTGTGATTCTTTATTGGCATACAGAGAATGCTCTGAGTCTTATACCCTGTGATCTGGTCAACTTCTGCATTGAATCTTGGATCCTGATACAAGAAAAAAAATGCTATTTTTAGACTACTAGCTTAAAGACCAGTTCTTTTCCTTCCTTGGTTTATGAATTAAGAAAAGTTTAATATTTTATTTGACTGTAACCCAGGATAACAAAGGTTCCATTACCAGTCAATAGTTATATAAAGTTGTTCCTATCAGTGTGGTAACAACAGAAAAGCATTTGTGTGGAACATGAGTGCCAATAGATTAAGACTGTTGCTATAAACAACAAAAAACTCAAGCCCTAGGAGAAGCCTTGTTTTTGAGCCTAGACCATCATTATAATAAATATGCTCACGGATTAACCATCCCTAGTTTACCTTTTATCATCAAGAAGAAATTGCAGTAATACACTAAAAGATCTGTGCCCAAGAAGAACAGTCATAAATGTGGTTTGTGGTTTTGTTTTTATTAGAGATTGCTTGTTTCATTTTTTCACCTCAGTATTGAAAACTGAATAATGACCTCAACAGAACTGATTTCTTTAGTCCCAGCTTCATGTCTCTATAATACATGTGTTATAACCAAAACCAGTGTCAAGTTTGCATCTCGACCACTTCAAGTCAATACAGCACCAAATACAGGCACTAAAATGATGATGTAGCAGCTTCTACTTTTTCAAGAGCTGCTGAAGACCAATTTCCTTGGCTTACCTCATAGGCATTCTTGATGTTGAGAGGCTGCCCTATGGCTGCCACGTGACCCACAATGCCCTTGTTCCACTCCAGGCGAATGCAGTTGTTGGAAGCTTCTTCCAGGGTGGATCCTTCTGCCACATCAAAGAGCCTGCTCACGAGGAACTTCTCGTTGGAGCTGTCCTCACACACCAGGAACAGGGAGTAGCGATCGGCTGCGATCAGCTCGTGGATGTGTAGGAAGATCTTATGGCAAAGAGCTGTGACATCTAAGTGACTAGAAATATCTTTCACAAGTTCTAATAGTCTGGAGCACTGATCCCCTGCTCTGGTCTCAATCCTTGGAGATTGCAGAGGCATCTGTTCCTTCTTGTCAGAGCCAGAGAGGAAGCTCACTGCTCCTACTGAGTCCTTGACAAAAATAGGCCTTAAGGGTCTGTCAAATTCAGAAGCGGAGATTTTCCTCGCTGGTGTCCCAGAGTTGGTGGTCTCGGCACAGGCAGGCTGGTGACAGGCACAGGCCTCACTCTGGGACTTGTTTCCCTCCTTGCAGACTGGGATGGTGTGAACTCTCTCAGCAAACCATGCATTAACCATTTCTCTGTCAAACAAAACCAAAAATACAGCAAATGACATGAATTGAAAATCCTCCAGCACATACTGGAAGCTAGCACTGTGAGAGGATAACTAAACCTTTTCATACAGAGGATACTGATGCACCTTTAGACTCCTCTACATCAATATTCTCCAATTTTATGCAGCACTTAGCCCAGATTAAGCAGTAACATTTTCTGCCCCGTCAAAAAGCTATTTTTGCCTAGAGGAAATACCAGAATAGGGCAGAGAACGACCACTTATGCTTTGGCTTTCAGAGTACAGATCAGAAGTTTGCACCATCATTTTGTGACCGAAATGTTCCAGTCTTTTCCATTCCCAAGATTTGGATTTCTGTATAAGATTATATATATATATTCATTTGAAGACAGAACTTTCTGGTTTTAACCTCTAAAAAGAATTTCAAACTTTAATTCTCTCAGTCAATCACCTGCAATCACCAGCAGTCCTTCCAATTTTTCTGTTGCAATATACTGTTTTTAAAGTTAACCTCCTTGCCCTCCAAGTTAATAAAAAATACTAGTTGGACTCAAAGCATAAAAGCTTTGCTTAAAAAACATCAAAGAAACTTTATTATTACCAATTCAACCCCCTTCAAAATAAGAACAGACTACTCTCATACATCTCTCCTATTTCCTTTCCTTGCAGATGACACTCATTGTCTAACTCAACCCCAAATACTGAATAACCCTAAAACTGTATTTTTAAGTGTTCACCACCAATCAAAAAATGCCATGCATTTCTAGTATTTAACTGTGCTTCTCAAATTAACTTAGTACTAGAAAGCCAACCCTAAAAATGTCCTCACTAAATACAGCATATCATAACATGAGTCTACTTTTTTATCACAATATCATTTTCTCATCCAAAATCTGGGGGGTTTTTCTTTCAGGCTTTTTTTGTCTTTTGTTTGGTTGGGTTTTTTTTTTAAATACAGGGCTTTTTATTTTATTTGCTTAGTGTCAAGGATTCCTCACAGCAAATGCCCTAATCTCAGAAGAAATGGGTTTTTGCTGTATTACATAACATTTGAGCCTCAGAACAGCAAAAATCCTATTAACAAGTCTGATCTTTTGGAAACCTTTCATGGTGGTCATGTTTTAAATTTGGGATATTTTTTATTTACTCAGCAGACCACAGGAATTTGAAGAGTGAAGCTGAATGAAGCCATGGAAGTGAGTCAGGTTAGTCAGCTGCTGATCAGTTACACACATCAGTGTACATTACATATGAAAAGCACTGTACCATAGTCTAATTTTCCTTAGAGCACACCTTTATCTTTGCTGTAAGATGCAATACTGCAAGCACAATTGGCCCTTAACTCACAGCAAAGTGATCAATTAAAATCTAAAGTTCAACAATATTATTTTTAATAGCAAGCCGTCCACAAAAGGAAACTCATTTGATTTCTGTTAGGAAGGCTTGAAAGAGTTTCTTCCATCACCATTCGGAGACCTCAACTGTAGGAAAACAAAATGCTATAAAAAAATTGAAAAAACCAAAAAATGCTATAAAAAAAACCTGAATTCTTAAAAACCAATGATCCTCCTTTAGTTAAAGCAGTGATACCTATTTTTGTGCGGTAACCTCATGCAAGTGTTTCTTGCAGTGAAGCAAAGAACAACTAATATATCATAACAAATTTGACTTCAACAATATTACTTTCCATTACTTAAACAGGATAAACATTAAATGTGGGAACTGTGACCATTCATTACTGCAATGCATAATATGATTTGCATAGGACAGTGTCTCATGTGCAAAAGTTGTTTCACTGAGAGCCAAAATAAGAAGCTAGCATTTGGTTACACTTAGAATTTTCATTTATTAGACTGAATAAGAAAGAAGAAACATTTTCAATTAAAATGACCCAAAATATCCTTAAGAAAATTAAAAAGCTAAAGATACGAAAATCTGTATGTAAATACAGTACAACCTCTAAAATCAGTGCAGCTAACTCTTGTTAGCAGGTGCATTATTGGTGGGCCCTTTTTGTTTTACTCTGATCACCTCAAAATAAAAAACAACCTGGAAATTTTAGCTTCTCTGAAACAAAACTATCAGCCAGCACTAATGCTGCAGAAAGGAACTTGCAAATGCCAGCTGGAGGCATTTAAACCTCAGACAGAAGTAGGTAGGTATAGAAAATTGATAGTTTTAAAGAAGATTGCTGACTTGACCCAGATTCACGTGTGTGCTGACTTCCTTTCTGAGCACTGAGGACTGGCATTAATGGAAGGTAAGATTGAAAAGTAGCAGTAATGACATGGTACCAGATGGAAGGGGTTCTCCAACGACTGATGAGGCTCAGAAGCCGTGTAATTGAAAATGCACATGTTTGAAGGCATGTTTGGAAATGAACCTGTGCTGTTGTTGGGCAACTGCAATTTGCAGAGCAATCTGATTCACTGCCTACTGACTCCTGAGGAAAGGAGAATATAAAAAGCTATCCTTTTCCCTTCTCTTGATGTACACTGAATTTACATACACTGATGTGTTGATACAAGATGCAAGGCAGAGAAAGAATCCGTTACCCTTCATGCATAAAAAGAAAAAACTACAGCAGAAATTTAATTTATCAGCAGAAACCTGTCATTTTGTTTATTCTGCAGTGTTGTGTTATGATTTCCCCAGGCCTTAATGGTGTAGCAATAGCAATCAGTAAGAACAATGTACTCTGAATGCTAATACCTGTTCTCAAACTGTGGCCGTGACAGCCTTAATTTTTTACCGTCTTGTCTTTTTACTGTGTAAAATAACCTCCATTTCTTATGGAGGTTATTGAGGGATGTGGAACACAGCTGTAATACCTTTCACATGAAAGGAATAATGTTTAACAAGAACTGAACTACTTGTTGAGTATCAGCACTGTTTATGAAGCACTCTAAACATTGAACAGAGCTGTATGTGGAGCTGCATAATTTTGAGTAACATACTCATGTCCTTTGATTTCTCTTGGGTGATGGTTCAATAATTTGCCAACATACTGCATGATTCTCAGAAAGCTCTTTAGATTAACACCAACAACAAATCCTTAACTAAACCGGTTAAAGCATGGCTTTCAACCTCAAGCCTGTTAAGTATTTTACTTTGGGCAACAGGAAAGCCATTCAAATTCAACTGGAAAAAGAACAGTGTTCAGTGACCTTTACCAAATGCCTCTTCTAACAAGGAAACTATTTAGCTCCTTTTACTCACCCAGTTACACACAGGGGTGGAAGAACCAGCATTTCGCATGAGCTGACGTATTCTAACTCTATTTAAAATCGCTCGGTGCCTTGACATGCGTCCGCTTGTTGACACTCAGGCCTATTTAACAATGCATGACAAGAAGGGTATTATGGCTAACACAAGTACTCTCAGAGCACAGAATTAGCTCAGCAGATATCTGACACTAGACACGTCCTGAGCCACGAGTGACGCTCCTGGAAATTAGCACCGAGTTCCATGTACAATTGAGATGTTATTTGGAAGGACTGCAGGAAGAAACCAACACTTGGGACTATTTGTAGAAAGAGTCTTCAGTAAGCACCGGCATTGTCAAGAGCTGATTGTAAGGACAAGACTCTGGCTGTAGTTTAGAGGTTTCAGGAGCAGATACTGATCCACAGTGATCCATGCAGTTAAACTCAGTGCCAGTCTCTATCCCAGCATGGTAATTACTGAGCTGAAGAGCTACAGGACCCACATGCCTCACAACTGGAATGCATCCTTTACTGCACTGTGACCCTTTAATATGAACCTTCACTCAAGAAAGACATAATTTATTCCACAGCTCATGAACAGGAATAGTAGAATATGAAGTTAGCAGTTTTTAGTCATTCCTATCAGCCAAATCCAATCTTTCCTCTACGAAGCATGACAGTAGTGACTGCTGAATTTGGCTGGTGACTTCATCAGCAGATGACAAAACTGGAGAGGAATTTTTAAGTGATAGTGCTAAGAAGGGGATAAAAATGCAATGGCAGGCAAAACATTGAAGAAAAAAGAAAAAAGATTGTGTGATCCTCCCCTCTCTGTCACTGCTTATATACAAGAACAAGTAATCTGCAGTACATGAGACCTTGCAAGCTTCAGAAGAATTAAGACTTTGGCCCTGAATTGTTAATTGCTGCACAGATAGACCTGTCCCTAAAGCAAGAAGTTTTCGGTATTAATAGGCAATAAAACAAACAAACAAAAAAAATATCAATGGTTGAGAAAACACAGACACAAGGAAGCAACATGTCTTGAGCCAGGTCATGCAGGAAGGCATGTGCAGAGCTGAAGAGGACTTGGCTGCATTTCCCGTGCCGTATGCATCAAACCATACTGACACAACACTAATCACTATGCTACTCATACACCAGGAACATTAAATAATTTATTGTACCCATCTTTGCTTCATTGTGGTCATCTTCAAAGTACACAGCAGACTTCTCAAAAAAACCCAAAAAACAACAACCCAACCTAGTGGAGATGTTTAACAGCCAGGTTGCAATTGTCTTGCTTACATATAGCCTATGTAAGAACACACCAACGTGACCATTCAGCACAACTACTTGGCACCTTTGGTGGAAACATACAAAAAACAGAATGCAAAGATAAATAACGCTGAGTTGCAACAACAACAGTAGAAACTGAGTGCTACTTACCTTGCACAAAGAATGCATAACACTCGCAGTTCCATAACAGAGCACAGTAATAAGTAGTTTTCAGTGAAACAGCAAATAATTCCCGGTTTTCCCTGTCACTCACAAACCACTCATATTTACCATGTATGATGTTTTAGTAGTTGTTTTAGCTTCTCCAAACTGTTCTGCTAATTTTTCATTCAAAGCAGCAGTTATTGGTAACACCTCAGGAGGGGGATTACAAACTTGCCTACCAGAAAATGCCAGCTTTCAAGTGTCTGAATTCCTGTAGCCTAATCCTGACAATGCTGAAATCAATAATATTTCAAGCTAAACTTCACAACTGTTTTATCAATTGCCTTCCATTAAATAA